AGAAAATAACGCTGTTATACTTAAACGCCGTTACTCCCTACACTGAACCCTTATAATTCCTGTTGAAAAAGTCTGCAGCCATTGTTGTGTGACAGTGTTTGTATGAGGTGACACAGGTAACACAATCTGTATCTGGGTGGTCTTTGTTCTTCATAAGAGCCAACATGGTGTTGAGTCAGTCATTCACAGTGTGGCTGCAGGGTGAGAGCACTGAATGCATGTTCATTATCAGGAGTCATAGCAGGAGCAACAGGGGTCAATGTGGACTGAATGGAGGAGAAGATCTGCTTTACTAACACAGAAAGCAGGCAATGGCAACAATGAGTTTGTCTGATATGCCACCCACAGCCTCATATTTAACATTCACAGGCTTCACATCTGACAGGTAGAACTGCATTTAAAATGAGAAAATAAATCTCAATTTATTAACTGAGCTCATTCAAAAACCAACACTAGATTTCAGTATTAAAGGAACAATATGTAATATATGTACTATATTAAAAAATAAAATGACAATATGTCATCAGATTTTAAGGAAACATAAATTGAAATTCTGTATTCTCTAATAATAAGTTACATGTATATTTTTATTTTAAATTTGCATTCCAGTGCAGAATTTCTGTTTATTTTTTTTACTTTGTGATTGCGCCAACTGCCTGTTTGGACACACCAGGTTGTCAGGTATGAACCTAATTTCCAGTCAGAGTCGGAGTCTGTCCAAACTAATAACCCCTTTGCATCGATTTGCATTCTCAGGTAACATAAAGATAAAGCTTCCTATCAGAGAATTATACACGAAAACATATTTATGAATAATATATTCCATTTCTATAGAGCCTTCTAAATGTTACACACTGGACCTTTAATGCACAGAAAGAAACTATCTTTTCTTTTCTACATCACTCTTTGCTGAAGAACAAGTCCACAACACAGTAACAACCGTTTTTGTTAATTATTCTCAAAAGAGCCACCATTCCAGACAGACTGATGAGCAGCAGTTTCAATTGGAGTAAAAGCCCCAAACCTATGCCCACAGTAACTTTCTAATAATAACAATAGTTATGAATATTCATTTATATCTGTATTCTATACATGATTTTCAGTTTTGCTTTTCCAGTAAGGTAACCCATTATGGTGAGAATTACTTGAATCTTGATACTAGTAATAATAGCTAGTACTGAAATCTTTGATCTTTGTATTATTATTATTATTATTATTACTATTATTATCATCATTATTATTATTGATCACAGTATTGCTAGTATCATTAGTTTAGTCATATCCTATGTACAACAGTTAGTTTTGAGACCTTTTTCACTCATCACTACTGTTACACGTGTTTGTCACAACCATTATAAACAACTCAGTTTCATTACAATACAATCTTGTTAATCCCTTTTGTGTGTATGGACTTCTGTCTATATTACTGTAAATAGGACATTATACATGATTAATAAAATAGTATTTTGGTACATAAAACTCACCTTTACGTATTAATTTTAAAGTAAAAACTATTACAGCATTATTGACCATGAATAACTCAACTATAATAACAAATTATGTTGTGATATAAACATAAATCAGGTTCAACTCTGACTGGAATGATCTTCTGTATAACATTAATAATGTTTCTTGTATACAAAAAGTATAGTAAGTGTTTTGATGAGACATATATAAAAAGATTAAAGGTCTAGTGTGCAACATTTCTAGATCTATTTTCAGAAATGGAACATAATATTCATAGGTATGTTTTCATTAGTGTACAATCACGTGGAAATGACAGTTGTGTTTTTGTTTGAGGGCGGCAGATGCAGAGTGGGTCTTCCCCTAATCGGAAGGTTGTTGGTTCAATCCCCGGCTCCTCCTGCCACATGTCGAAATATCCTTGAGCAAGAACTGAACCCCAAATTGCTCCCGATGCTGTGCATCGTTGTGTGAATGTGTGTGAATGCATTAGTTTCTGTTCGATGGGCTTTGCCATCACTGAGTGAATGTGTATGAAAGGGTGAATGTGGCACGTAGTGTAAAAGCGCTTTGAGTGGTCGGAAGACTAGAAAGGCGCTATACAAGTACAGGTCCATTTACCATTACCATTTAACTGTCTCCTTTCCTATTTCCTATGCTAGGCTCTTCTATGTAAAAGACAATCACATTCTTAAAGATAAAATTTGCATAGCCTATTATTACTAGTTAGTCTTAAATTAGCTAATGTTAGCAAATCGGTAGCTAACGAACTGATGAATAATTGATGTAGATAATCTAGCTAGTTACCTAGCATTTTAGCAAGCTAAATTAACATGTGACTACATATCACTTTTAAATTTTGACCACATATAGCACATATGACACAGGTGACAAATCCCACATAAAGTGTCTTTGTAATTGATTCTTTAAGTCGCTAGAACTTCCAACAAAAGATACCCATATGTCACTCAAAACCACTCCCTTAATTACGCATAATTTTAATCTTAATATAATTTAAATGGGTGAGTTATGTAAAAATTCAATTAAATTCCCTAACCTTAATCATTACAATATATTACAGATCCCAACCGTAATCCTCAACTTGAACTGATTCATACCTAAACCCTGAAACCAGGTCTAAATGCCTCAAACAGTCATTTGAAGGTCCAGCCTAAAACGTGGACCTGTCAGGACAGCATCTTTGTAGGTCTTTATGTCCTCTGAGGAGCTGCCCTGTTTCTAAATGACTAAAATACACCATCTGGCACTCTCTCTATCTCTCTGTCTTTCTCTCTCTCTCCCATGTCAGGCCAGCTATATAGCGTGGTAATAGAACCCTTTCTCTGCAGACTAAGGTCCAGACTGACCATGGTTGATGCAGAGCCAGCCTATCATAATTTGAATTATGGTGGACACTGACCAAGCAGCATTATTTGGTGAGACGTAGTTGTGTCTGCCTATAGGGACAATCTCAGCATGCTTATCCAGGGGCAGGTGTCCAGGGTTTAGCTGATTGTCTTGGTACGTATGAGGAAGCCTTGTCTGCTAAGGTAAATAAGTGGAGAGTGTGGCATTGTTAGTTGGGGGAAAGTAGAGGAAAGTTTTTGGTCGTCAATAAACTGGCCGCTGCTCCTAAGGAGAGTTGGCAATCTGGGAATAGATTTTAATAAATCATCATCATCATCATCATCATCATCAGTCATTTATATGAGTATAGCTGTTGCTACTGTTGTTGTTGTGCACCTTTGTCTCTGTCTCTGTTCTTCTCTCTTTACCCCTTTGCCAGTAATTTGGTCGTCCAAGGGTGGGATTGATCACAAGATGAGGACTTTGAGCCCAGGATGAATAGTTGCGCCACAGAAATTTGAATCTGAGGATATCCAATGTGAGGATACACAGGCTAAAATCTGATTGGGCTGAATGAACTGTAAAGACAATTGAGGTTAGGCATTGGACTTGAATGATTAGAGTCAGGTTAACCCATTGGTGAGAGAATAGGACCAAGAAGTGTTACAAGAGAAACAAGTTGGTCCACAGGATGGAGTCCAAGGATGTCGACAGTGGCACTACTCCCAAGGCAAGGATGTAAGTGTTCCAGTCAAATGGTTGGGCCGGAGTCGACATTAAGTAAAAAATGGTTGGGGTTAGGCATCAAACTTGAATGGTTAAAGTCGGGATAACCCACTGAGGAGGGTATAGAACAAAGAAGTATGTAATGTCTTGTGACTTAATGTGTGTCTGTGGGGTAGTGTCTGGTAGGAGCAGCTATACCGATCCAGCTGTCAAAGTGGTGAAACAACTTCTCAAGCTGTTCATCCAGATTAATACTGTTGTCCTCAAACTACACATCTATAGAAAGTGGCTTGGGCTTTATCTGTACTTAAAAGACTCCAACTTCCACATATTTGAAGGATGTTCTTTTCATGAAATTTGCTTCACTTGTTTGCTTCAATTCTTTCTGATGGAAAGTAGCATTTTATTTTTCATGACATTTAAAAATGCTTTACTAAATTGAGTGTGGCAGCTGGATGTGTCTAGGCAAAGACTAGTAATCAGGAAAGAGAGGCACTTTACAGAGTGAGGGGAGGAGAGGGATGGAAATCCTATCAATGTTAAATATAATATATTGCAATTTAAATAATCAATTGCTGTTACTGTAGAGAAACATTAATTTCACATGTCCTAATGCCTAACAGCTCTTACTTAGTGGGTATGAAAGCATGAGATATATATTTCCTGATACCTGAAAAAGCTCAAACTAATCCAGTAAGCAAGTGTTGACCTTCCATAACCTGTGTTTCAGTGTGTGCATGTGTGTTTGTTTGTTTCTCCACATTGCAAATTCAGAGCTGGGTAATAACCCCACCAGCCTTAACTAGCTCATAGCCTGAAATATCACACTATTAGCATCCCAGCAGCGCTGCTTTAAATATCCCTGCTAGAAAAGCCAGCAGCTCCTTCAAAGGCTGTTGGCAGGACTTGTTATAACAAACACACACATATAGCTACACACTGCCTCACACATTATCAACAGTTGGAGTCATAACAAAGACTGACTGACTAAAATCAGTGGAAGATCAAAAAATAAAAAAAATCAACAAACACCCCCCTCCCCTCACCACTATGCCTAATGGTAATTGCAAGTGTGACTGCTGCAACCAATGAAGGCACATTGGCAAAGGAAGAAACAAGATCATTCTTGAGCCACCCACGCACAGGTCAATACATCCAGTACATCATGTTTTGTGTGATTTCCTGCAGCACTACTCTACTCGCATTCTCAAAGGCAAGGTTAAATCTGCACATGTTCAGCACCTGTGTCACCTTTTTTAGCATTTTCATTGTACAGACATTTGTGTTTCTACCAGAACCAGCCACTTTTGGTTACTACACTAACCAAGACCTAATGGAAGGGCAACAATGACCATTTTTTGTGGATCTATACAGGACTTTTTACTGTGATTATGCTGGCGACACTGAAGGCAGAATAGTGTGGAAATGATGTGTCAGCAACTAAAAGACGACAGTCAACTTACAGTTCGAAGAGCTGCAGATATTCAAAGATCTGCCAGGACAGTGTGGTCAGCTTAGGGTTCTTGGACAGGTTTCTGAGGGAGACAAGGTGAAAGACCCAAAGAGGTTAAGACAGATATTAGAAATGTCACTTAAAAACAACAACAAGGTGCCTGGTTAGCTCAGTTGGTACACCTGGCGTCCCATGTACTGAGGCTGAGTCCTTGCTGCAGCGGCCGAGGGTTCAAATCCAACCTGCGGCCCCTTGCTGCATGTCATCCCCCCCCCCCCTCTCTGCCCCCCTTTCCTGTCAGTCTTCAGCTGTCATTATCATAAAGGCAATAAAAGCCCCCAAAAAATGCTTAAAAAAAAAAAAAAAGGATTGTTAGTGTCTTATTGTATACTGGTGTGTTCAAAACTCAACATGGTCTTTTCATTTACTATCCATATACTGAAGCATGTATTATTATTTGCCTATGAATGACTCTATATTTATCACAGTCCCTGTAACATCCAACATCATAGGCATCAGTTTAAATTTACACACACAACAATGAGCACAAAAACAGTGTTTTTGAGAATCAGTACAATATCATGATACTCAAGTGCATTAATATTTTCTTACATCCCTAGTCATGACTCATTTTTGTTAAAGTCCAGGTACAGCCACACTCTTTTTGGAATTTATCAAGACAAACATCATTACATTAAAGCTGCAGTAGGTAACTTTTATAACAATAACTTTTTTTGTAATATTTGCTGAAACTCTATACCATGACAGTAGTACATGAGACAGATAATCTGTCAGGTTCCTCTGGCTCTTTCTAGTGCTCTTAATGGCATTTGCAAGAATTGACCAGGCCTGAAGGAAAACAACTAATCAGAGCCAATAAAGATATGAAGATGGTTTGGATTGAGTCTTGTTCCCAGGTTGTCAAATATCAATGCTGGAAACGACACTCAACAATCAGCTATCTTTTTCGTCCAGGCCCGATGGATTCTTGCAAACGCCATTAGAAGAACGAGGAGGAACCAGAGGAACCTGATTTTTTCATGTGAAAATATTATTTTTTATAAAATTACCTACTGCAGCTCTAATGACTTGATATTTTGAGTCCAAATGTTTATGTAATTTGAAAAGAAATAACGTTAAAACTTTGTTTGATTAAAAAACACACATTGAAGATGCTCCATGTTAATGCCCCTGTATTTAAATGTCAGTCCTTGATATCACTGAATGTCTGGGGATTTTGTAAAACATCAAAAAAGACATCCAGAGCCTCCAAATCTTTGATGTACTATGAAGGTTTCAATTCCAGCGACATCACGACACAGCACGTTATAAATCAAGGAATATTTATAGAGGCAAGAAACTGAGGATTTTTTTTATTACTGACATTCACACCCTGAAGGAATTACACACAAACAAGCAGCTACCAAAACACACACACACACACTCACACACACACACACACACACACACACACACAAACACACACACACACACACACGCACATACATAACAGTGTTTGAACTTTACACAGTCACAACCCATTTCCCTCGTAAACCCTTCTGGGTTGCAATAACACAGAACACAAACACAGGTGTCCGTTTCCATGGCAACAAAAAGCTAACCATGTGGAGGTGCTCAGGCTGGTGTGAGTGGAGGGACAAGACACCCACTGGAATCCAAATAACCTCATTATTTTCAATAATGAGATTATCAAAGCCTCCTGTGTAGGGATGTCACTGTGTGTGTGTGTGTGTGTGTGTGTGTGTGTGTGTGTGTGTGTGTGTGTGATACCTCAGATGTGGTGTCAGTAAACACTGCTGATAAACATTATATTTCACACTTGACTTGTTAGTTTGATTACATTCCTCTGGTTATATGTATATGAAGTGAATATGTCACACTCACTGCTGAGCTCCTCGGGTCACATGTGATGTTCAATGATCACTCTCTGCAACTAACTGAATAACAGCAACGCTGTATGCCATATGCAGCCACCGTAATTTTTCTAAAAGATTAGAACCTTAACAGCAACAACAACATTGGCAAACTCAAGATGTGACTGTTTTTCACTTTTATCTTTTAACCATTTTCAAAGTGTTGTTGTCTTTTCAACATAGACGTTGATAAGACAACAACATTTTGCTGTGTGCCAAGCTACTAGCACATAGCATATCTAAGGAAATCTACAGGAAAGGAGAAACTTGACCGAGGTTCTGACTGAGGCTTGCTCAACTGTTATTGGAGCACAGACCAAAATTAAATAACAGCTTGATGTCTTGAGAAAAGTAGATAATCAAAGGGTCAGTGTGTAGGATTTAGTTGCATCTAATGATGTTGTTGCAGATTGCAACTCCCTTGCTAAAAGAAAGTACACTGGGCGTGAAACTTGCAAGAAATGTGAAGACCCCTATCTAGAGTTCACGTCATGAAAACACACACACGCACTTACACACAAACTCAATCAGAGCAGAAGTTGCTATATTTTCTCCTTTTCATCAGGGCTTATGTTTGGTGACACAGAATTAGAGCAGTTGATACTGACTGTTGTCCTTTGAGAGATGAGAGATTAGAGAGCGGAGCTGGACTAAAGGAAGACAGGGAGAGACAGAAATTGAAAAATAGTGGGTAAACGGGGGGGGCGACACGCAGCAAAGGGTTGCTGCACTTGAACCCAGGCCACTGCAGCAAGGATACATGATACATGCTCTGGTGGGTTTATGTTTGATTCATAAAAGATACTGAACATACAACGCATTGCTTAAGCAGGTTCGAAGCTCAAGCACCTGTGATATGTAACTCTCAAATTAACTTAAAATTGACAGCACCTGCCCACCCCTTATATAATGAATAGCTATGGACAAAAGCACCATTGTGGACAGTGAATTGAAAGTAATTCGGCTAATATCAGATCATCAACCAAACCTTATTTCAGTCAGAAACCTTTGTTTTTGAAAGTGTTTGCCTCTCATTCCCACAAGCTACCAATGGAGGCTGAACCAGTTGAGGAGACAAAAAGTATTATCTTCATGGATTGTATTGATGGTGATACATTTACATGTATGTATATATCTATATATATATAGATATATACATATACGTATATACACACATATATATATACATATATATATATATACAAATATATGTATCTTTTAACCATGTTCAAAATACGGTTATCTCTTCAACATAGACAAACCCAAAAGTTCCAAGAGGGGCGGGACTCAGGATGTGTCAGTTGAGTTTGCTCATTTGTCAATCACGTATTATGCATTATTGTCATGTAATAATAGATAGTTCTTTGTGGGGATGCTGACAACAATTACCTCAAATCCCATGTCACTCTGCGTGTGTATGTTTGTGTGTGTGAGTGACAATGCATGCTTATTCCCATGTGTAGGTGTCTTGAGTAACATGCTTGTGGTCTTGACTTGGGACCAAACTACTTAAAACACAAGCTGATGATTCATTCTTCACAGTTGATATCTAAACAGGTTTGCTCTCAGCCCTCAGGGAGAAAGACTGTGTGTGTGTGTGTGTGTGTGTGTGTGTGTGTGTGTGTGTGTGTGTGTGTGTGTGTGTGTGTGTGTGCGCGCCCATGTGTTTGTTCATAATTTGAAGTGTAATCCTGTAGTGAATATGCAAGCTGGCACTCAATATTTGCATGATAACATGGTGATGCAACTAACTGTGCATATGTTATCTCAGTGTTTCTCTGACTAAATGTGTACATGCTGCTCAAACATGTACATACACTCACAAACCTAAACAAATGAACACTGAGTACTGTTATTTATGATGTGATGTAACTCTCAGACCCTTCCTGCGTAAAATAAGTCCTGTGCACAGTTATAACTATGGCTGAGTTTATAAGCCGATGGGCCCTCCAAGCTACCAAAGTCCCCCTATATCTCACACATGGGCCTCTGAGTCATTGTTTCATTGTTTTGTAATTGGTGTCATGGACTCCCTAAGCTGGGCAGCTTGTAAGGAGCATGGTTGTATAGGTGCTGTGTTCCACTATGGCAGTCTTTTGGAGGAGACCCACCAAGCAAACAAATTGAACATTGCCTTGCTTGTTGCAGCGGGCGTGTCGACGCTTGCAATCATTTTCGTTTGTATCTTTAATCTTCGAGGCCAGCAGGATCCCAAAAGGTACAATAATGTCGTCTCTCTACGCAAAACTTCACGAACCAACACTGCTTTTCAGCAAAATACTGTCTACCCGGCAAGCCAATTGCATTTATGGTGCACAAGTTGAATGTTAAACTTCCCCCCCATCTCTTTTTTTACATCACTGGTTGGTCCCCCGTCACCTGCAATCCCACAATGCCTTGCAAAGTGATTCTGTCATTTTCATGTCCCATAGAAAATGAGTGGGGGCATGCATTGCGTCATGCAGCCTTCAGTGGGACTTTACTGTTACATGTAGAAAGGAGCTGTGTTTGAAGCTTTTCTCAAGGGGCTGCTGTCCATGGTGCTGATCATAAGCACTGTGTGCAGTATGAGTGGTCCTATGACATGTTACTTTCCTAGCTCTGTGATTGAACGGTCAGTTGGTTTATTAGGAAGATGCTGGTTCTTTACTCCTGTAATACACTTGCAACACAAAAATTCAACAGGGTGAGAAGTTAAGCCCTTGACAATGCTCAGAACAGACAAACCAAACACTGGCTCTAGACAGGGCCTTTTAAAAGATTTAGGGCCAATGCAGTTTCTCATTAGGTTAGTGTAGATGCTGCTAGCATCAGTTATACCAAAACTGAAGACTATTTTCTCCATTGAAAAAGAGCAAATAATGTCACTAAAGGCTTTTCTCCATGGAAAAGATGTTTTTTCTCTTCTCCCGAGTAGCGTCAGTAAGAGTCTGACTACGTTATATGGTTCATTGATCTGATTGGTTGAAATTCACCTGTAGTAGACAATGATGGAGATGGTTCATCCAATCACCTGCTGAATATTTGTAAAAGTGCCCACCCTTTTCCAAACAGTTTGAAGGTACAACCCCGATGATTCTAGCACAGTCAAGTTAGAAGTGTGCACGTGTAGAATAAAAGCCATTTCGATATTTGTACTGGTGCCACA